ACACTATCAATCTCCGCGGCTTTGTTTCTTTTAGAATTTTTGAAAAAAACGGTATATTTCTGGATTTCTCGTACCCTTTCGTATTGTTGAATTTATTGTCCATTGTGTATTTCCCTGATCTTATTAATTTCCTTCAGAATTTCTTGTAATTTCCCTTTAATTTTAATTAGTGTCTACTTTGTTAGCAATCGATAAGTTGTTCTGTCCTCGAGAATATTTTCCATTTTCTTTGTATAATTCTTTCTATTCATCACTAATTTGAATTTTTGTAGAGATATTTGGCCACTTTTTAATCTATTTTGTTTCTTTGTAATATCGTTCCTATGCTTGGGTGCTCGATGATTTCCACTCCCAGCTACCGCTTTGATTCCCACAGCAACATCTCATGGATATGCTGTGTTCATGTGGTAGTGTCTATGTGGGGGAGACATGTCGATTCATAGATAAGAGGTTATCTGAATATAAAACAGCCTGCAAAGGTTTTGGGTAAAAAAAGTCAGTATCGCCATTAGTACCATACAACAACTCGTCAAAGAGACAAGTGAAACCGATCCTTTGAGCAAACGTGTGCTAAACAATTGTGGTATCTCCTCTTCTACCCTGGATTATTCGCGTTCCTTTTGTCATTCTATCATGCCTTCACTATTACAATTTTAACCGTTTTTATTTAGATATAGTGTGGTTTGCTCCTTTGAGTGACAGCGACATGGAACCTTCACACTCCAACTGTCGTTCTCACCCCCCTTCATCCTTGTGCAAGAAATGTTGATCAGAGGGGGATGAGAACGACAGTTGTAGTGTGAAGGTTTCATGTCGCTCAAAGAAGCACGCCACGCCATATCTAAATAAACACGATAAAAGATTGTAATAGTGAAGGCATGATAGAGTGAAGGGGGGCAAGGGAAACAGTGTGTGTGATGGCGCCAAAAGGACACAGCTTAAGTGGAATGTATAAAGACTCAAAAGTTGTGATAGGGCGGGAGTGTGTTATAAAAGAGTAATAAGTAGAAAGATGGGCCTGGACAGAAAGAGGAGTAATAGCCTAACAATTTCGGTATAAGGTTTCTCGAAGTACTGACTTCACTTGTCTTGTGTTTGGTGCTGAGAGGGGCAAGACTCACTGACGATGCCGGCGAAACAGAGAAGCAGAGGACTTCGGACAAGGTGCATCCAACTAAGTCTCTCTGACGACACGACCAATTTGCAAAAACCAGGTCAACCCACTGTTTTTATTAAGGTTGTTATAATTATAGATTAACTCCTATAGACGTATTATTTCTCCAGGTGCTATCGAAAAACGAGGAAGCACGGTATCAGCTTCCAGATGGCCGGCCACATTTCGTTTTCATGCCTCATTGTGCAGTCGCTCTTTTGAATAACTTTTTATTTGCGAATTGGTACCCTGATCGACTGGCTGGCATTGTGTTTTACGTCAACAGTTGGCCACACCTCCGTGCCCAACTTGACCTTGAACCGAGTGGATATGTGGCTACACAGTTAGCCTATCTCACTGCCCTCCTCCCGGCACTCGTCTGCTTTCCATCGCCATCGACCTGGTGTCCAGCTAATTGTGCTGATTTATCAACAAACTCATTTGCGTTCAAACCGCATTCAGAAATACAAGACTATGGTATGTAGATGCTTCAGAATTTTGCCTCCAATGTGAGATTAATTTGCCCCCAGTTTAATCTATCAGCGATTTGGTAAGGAATGACTACTTTAGAAACCCACCGCCCCTTTAAAGCAAATTTGAATCTAAATAATTAAAACCTTTTCAATGGCTTTCGAAGTTACTCGGCAGTACAGTTTGCTTTACTCTTTACTTTTGCTGCCGATTATCTTTGCAAAATTTCCGTAAATGTACCGAGTAGCCGCGTGTTTGAACATTACGCGTGTATATCAGCGTGCGTAATACTAGCCAACTATTAAAGTGCTTAACTTCCTGCCCGTGTCATTTATGCTTACTAATTCAAAGAATAGCTTGGCCGGTATTGCGTAAGCTTTAACGCAACTGAGATAACGAGATGTATGATTAAGCGTATAAGTCTGTTTACTCAATCACCAGACGCAGCCCGACAGTCTTGGTTCATTAAGTGTTGGTTCAACCTCGTTTTCACAACCTGGTCGGAACGTCAGGGAGACCTTGTGGAACGTACCTAGTCCTGTGTCATCTGCCATAAAATGGCATGTGTAAACTTTTTTACTGGACGGACTTTTAGGCCACGCTGACACCGCTACAAAGTTGCAATAAGGTCAAAGACAATGCTGTCAGTAAGTGTTTCATCATCTTACACAAACTAGAGTATATATGTATGTGTGCATGCTTGTACGTATGTATATAAAATCTATAGCTCAATTTGTTTCCTGATACTTTTATCTTTTCAGTCCTAGAAAATCGACTTATTTTCTATTATATTTTGGATAACCATTTGATCTTGGGATTCTATTTTTAAGCAAAATCTGTGAACCAGATATATCTAAATTATAGAATGACCAGTTGGGTCTCGATTAATCTATTAAGTTAGCGTAGATACGAAGACCAAGATGTTGTGGCCTCTATTATAGTCGCAATCTCCTTTCGTTACATAGATGTGATCTGGCCTCGTTTTCGCAACCTAGTCATGTTGTCATGGCTTAATTAGACGCATCTCGTTCGAAATCCTCTGCTATAGTAGTTAATTAAATTCTCAGCGGCGGACCTTGGACTAGGTACATTCCCGGATGTCTACCGGAATCATGTCTTTTTGACGACTTGTAGCTTGGTACTGAGTGTGCCAAGACTCATTGACGATGCCAGCGAAATCTCTGGGAATATACCAAGCCCACGGTCCGACACTGTCTATAGCAGAGGTCTTCGGACAAAGTGCCTGAGTCGATCTAAAAACACGACCAGGTTTCGAAAATGATATCACATCTATTGAGTTAACATTTCTATGAAGACTTTCATTATGTGTGAAAATGCAAGGTGAAGAGATTTGTTTATTGATTCTAATGGAAGACAACGTCTGTTTCCTGTACTACAACAATTCGGTTTAATAAAACATTAACGTTGAAGCATCCTTGTGAATAGGGGCTGAGCTTTCGTCCATTAACTAATGGACATCGTAAGAGCTGGACTTCATACTTGCGAGAACTTCAAGGTATCACTAAATAAATAAAAACAATTCGGATCTATCCTACATTGTATTTATAATCATGCTTATAATGAGTATAGTTAAATATAGATAGATTCAATATGATATATCTAGTCTTCATATCAATCTGGTTAA